ATTTTTACGACTTTTTTGGGTATGGACTGATTCACGTCTTTCCCTCTCTACTGTTTCCTGCCTACTTTCTGTATTCGACTAAGAACCTACTTGGCGAAAAGTTTCGGAATAAAATTTAACTGTTTCAATGTTCTTACCTAACAACCTGTCGGTATTGTATACCATTTTGATGTTCATTTGTCAGACACTGCAACACGTGGCATCTTGGTAACAGAAAACACCTTGGACAAGCTTTTCAAGTGAAAAGGGGTTTGGATCTGAGAGGGACATGACCTCTCAGTTGCCTCTCACTACTACTACTACTACAAACCCTGCACCTCTCCTTCCGACAGTATTTAAGTCTCCGCACTGTCCTTAAACTTCAGATATTCCTGACTATGGAACTAAAACTTCTCCGGGCCGAGGGACTGACAACCTCAAATTCTCGACTTTAAGGTGATGGACTGATTACATCGTCTTCACATCTCTACTGTTCCTGCCTACTTCTGTATTCGAAGAAGAAGCCTACTGTGTAGGCGAAACGTTTCGGAATAAAGTTGTCTAACTGTTGCATAGGGTTGTCTTACCTAACAACCTGCGGTTTGTATACCATTTTGATGTTCATCTTGTCAGACACTGCAACACGTGGCATTTTGGGTACAGAAAACACCTTGGACAAGCTTTCAAGTGAGAAGGTTGATCTGAGAGGGAAAAGCCCTTTCTCAGTTGCCTCCACTACTACTACTACTACTACCCTGAAACCTCTCCTTCCGACAGTATTTAAGTCTCCGCACTGTCGCTTAAACTTCAGATAGTTCCTGACTATGGAACTGAACTTCTCCAGGCCGAGGGACTGACAACCTCAAATTCTACGACTTTAAGGGTGATGGACTGATTACATCGTCTTCACATCTCTACTGTTCCTGCCTACTTTCTGTATTCGACTGAAGAAGCCTACTGTGTAGGCGAAACGTTTCGGAATAAAGTTGTCTAACTGTTGCATATGTGTCTTACCTAACAATTCAGGACATGTATTAGAGGTAACGTTTCGCCACGAGTGGCTTCAGTCCTGAAGAAGTCACTCCTGGCGAAACGTTTCCTGTAATAAACATCTTCCATCCCCCCACACCCTGTACCTTACACAGGACCTGCTATGGTTCAAGCCCCCACCCGGTCCGTGATCAGCTTCAGTATAGTGATTGCTAGCGGTGTCTCCCCAGTCAACAGTGACGGGTTCATAGTCAACAAACACGACAGGTGGACGCAACTGTTGCCTGGGACACGTTGGTCAAGACATACATCAGGGCAGCCACACACACTGCCTAGTTTATTAGGTTTAAAACGTATTATGCAATGGTCACGTGTATCACCTGTCCACCACCAGTCAATAATATTTTAATCCTTTAAAAATTTTCACTTAAGCTAAATTTTGTATGGTAATTGTATTTATGTGTACCTGTCCCTAAAAAACTTACAATGAAAAGGTTGATTTGATTTCTTAATTTTATTTGTATGGAGGATGGTCATTATTTTTATTATTACGAGAATGAGGAACCGCTAAACCCGTACGGGTTAATATTAGATTTTTGATATTGGTGATATAGCGCCTCATACGTAATTTGCATTTTTTGCAATGTTTTATATATTAAATCACGCAGAATTTTACCTGGATTAAAAGAGTATACACTGCGACATATTTCCATCGGGACAGTAATGTTTGGTCCAAGGTGAGGGAGGGTGGCTTTAATTCCTTGGAATAGGAGCTCTTCACCCCAGTCAAGACAGCCACGCAGTGTGATGTAATAAAAATTTGGTAATAAGTAAAAAGTGCCTTTATGGTTTTGATTTAATATTATTGAAAGAATTTAATACTATTGAAAGTATTTAATACTATTGAAAGTAAATTTTAAAACTATTGAAGTATTTAATACTATTGAAAGTATTTAAAACTATTGAAAGTATTTAATACTATTGAAAGTATTTAAAAAAAATATTGAAGTATTTAATACTATTGAAAGTATTTAATACTATTGAAAGTATTTAATACTATTGAAAGTATTTAATACTATTGAAAGTATTTAATACTATTGAAAGTATTTAATACTATTGAAAGTATTTAAAACGTATTATTGAAAGTATTTAATATTATTGAAAGAATTTAATACGTTGAAGGTATCTAATATTGTTGAAAGTAAAGTATTTAATACTATTGAAAGTATTAATACTGTTAAAAGTATTTAATACTCTTGAAAGAATTTAATACCATTGAAAGTATTTAATACTGTTGAAAGTAAAGGTTTTAATACTATTGAAAGTATTAATACCATTGAAAGGATTTAATACTATTGAAAGTTTAATACTATTGAAAGTATTTAATGTTGAAATAAACCACTATCACTTTCCCCAGGATAACCCTAAAAAATGTCAAGGTAATTTATTTCCATTGAGATCCTTGTATTTATTTCCATTGAGATCCTTGTATTTATTTCCATTGGGATCCTTGTATTTTTTTCCATTGGGACCTTTATTTATTTTCCATTGAGATCCTTGTATTTATTTCCATTGGGATCCTTGTATTTATTTCCATTGAGATCCTTGTATTTATTTCCATTGGATCCTTGTATTTATTTCCATTGAGATCCTTGTATTTATTTCCATTGGGATCCTTGTATTTATTTCCATGAGATCCTTGTATTTATTTCCATTGAATCCTTGTATTTTTTTTCCATTGAGATCCTTGTATTTATTTCCATGAGATCCTTGTATTTTTTCCATTGGGATCCTTGTATTTATTTCCATTGAGATCCTTGTATTTATTTCCATTGAGATCCTTGTATTTATTTCCATTGAGATCCTTGTATTTATTTCCATTAGGGTCATTTGTTACATCTGACAAGGAAATTACTCTCCTAGAATGATGAAATAATTGTTATATTTAATTAAGAAGTGTTAAATATGAGGCGTGAGAGAGATATAGAAATAGATAATGTATATTACAAGGTTATCTTAGGCAATTTATATTATGTATGGTAATTGTGTTTATGGGTACCTGTACCTAAATAAAATCACGAGAATGATACAAGTCACTTGTTACACCAGGAAATTACTTTCTGGGGTTGGTAGAGTAACTTGTGTGAGAGATGTGTAGTGCGAGGAGTGAGAGAGATAAGAGAGAGGTAATGTAAACCTGAAAACTGTAAGAAAATAAGGGTTAAGATAACAAAGAAAGATAGTAGAGGGCAACGAGTGACTAGCTCCCTTAAGAGTAACTCGGGTCAGATCACTGACAGTGTGAAATTGAGACACATGTGCAACATCTGGGTATCTTTATTGTAGACGTTTCGCCATCCAGTGGCTTTATCAATACAAATTCCAGGACATAACTTGAAGACAGGAGAACGATGTACAGAAGATGAGGTAATCAGTCCCTCAACCTAACAGTAAGTGCGAAGAGCACCATAGTCGTGAAGATTCTGACAAAGATGATCCCATGTGAGGAAATGGTATGGTGGTACCGACAAGATGTGGAAAAAGACACTTATGTGCAGTTCAGGACATTTATAAAGGAAACGTTTCGCCACGAGTGGCTTCTTCAGTCCTCCTACTACTACTACCACCTCTACCCACACGTCACTTCACCTGACTCCTGCCACTATGTATATGCGTTTTCTTAGTTTTCTCTGCATTAGGACTGAAGAAGCCACTCGTGGCGAAACGTTCCCTTTGATAAATGTCCTGAACTGTACATAAGTGTCTTTTTCCACATGATCCCATGTATCAGAAATCTTCCCTATGAGGATAGACTGAAGCCCTGAATCAGCACTCTCTCGAAAGGCGTAGAATGAGGGGATATATGATCGAGGTGTATAAATGGAAAACAGGAATAAATAAAGGGGATGTAAATAGCGTGCTGAAAATTTCCAGCCAAGACAGGACTCGCAGCAATGGTTTCAAGTTGGAAAAATTCAGATTCAGGAAGGATATAGGAAAGCACTGGTTTGGTAATAGAGTTGTGGATGAGTGGAACAAACTCCCCAGTACAGTTATTCAGGCTAAAACGTTGTGTAGTTTTAAAAATAGGTTAGATAAATACATGAGTGGGTGTGAGTTGGACCTGACTAGCTTGTGCTGCTGAGTTTGGTGCCGTACTCCATCCTTGGGTGGAGGTGACCAGACTGGGTGGGTCATTGGGCTAATCGGGGGGGGGGGGCACATGGACCTGCTTCGCATGGGTCAGTGGGCCTGTTGCAGTGTTCCTTCTTTCATATGTTCTTATAGAGTACCAGAATGATTCATATTAAGTCACTTGTTACAAGGAAATTAATTTCCCGGGATGATAAAGTAACTTGTGTGAGAGATGTGTAGTGCGAGGAGTGAGTGAGAGATAATGTAGCATATCTGAGAACTGTGAGAAAATTATGGTTGATATAGTGCAAGAATGATTCAGGTTGTCACTTTTTACACCTGACAAGGAAATTAATTTCCCGGGATGATCAAGTAACTGTTATAAGTGTAAGAGGTGTGACAAGGCGTGTGAGGTAAAGATAATATCGTTGAAATAGTGTACCAGAATGATTCACGTTTGGTCACTTGTGACGGAAATTAATTTCCTATGATGATAAAATAATTGTGTGAGAGATATGTAGTGTGAGGAGTGAGAGAGAGATAGACAGAGATAGATAATATTTTATACTTCTAAACTGTGAGGAAAATAATAGTTATTCAAGAAATAAGGAGATAGTAGGAGGTATAAGGTATGAGGAGTGAGGGTCGTGGAGGTGTTGGAGAGCATGATGGAGAATAGACACAGATAGATAATTCATATATCTGAGAACAGTGAGAAAATAATAGTTATTTGAGAAATAAGGAGGTAGAAGAAGGTATAAGGTATGAGGAGTGAGGGTCGTGTAGGTATGTAAGAAGTGGTATTGAAGTACATGATGGAGGATCGAGACACGTTCCCAGCGTCAGCTGAGTGTGAGCATCGTCCTCACACCCGCATCCCTCCACTTATACTCTGACACAACCTCATCCCCCCAGACGTGATGAAAAGATGTCCGTGTCGAGTGATAGCCTCTGCCTGGAGGAGGACGGCTCTATAGAGCTCGGGGAGAGCATCGAGGGTCTGTGCTTCCACCAGGCGCTCAACGTGCTCCTCGTCACCACCACAGACCGAAGAATTAGGGTCTATGACCCCCACTCCTCCCTTAAGCTCTCCGATGTCCACCTGCAGGGTGAGTTACTCTCCAAAAAACATATCGCCCACACCTCATTATTCCCTCAGACTTAATTATGGGGTTTGTGTTTGGTCGTCCCTCAGGGGAGGTTTATGGCTCGCTGGGGTGATGGTGAGATTTGTCTGGGGTCCAACTTCACCTCTGTTGTGGCTAGTGGTGTTGGGGTGTCCCTGAGCCTGTTGTTCTGTGTATTGGTGTCCCTGAGCCTGTTGTTCTGTGTATTGGTGTCCCTGAGCCTGTTGTTCTGTGTATTGGTGTCCCTGAGCCTGTTGTTCTGTGTATTGGTTGTCCCGGGCCTGTTGTTCTGTGCATTGGTGGTCCCTGAGCCTGTTGTTCTGTGTATTGGTGTCCCTGAGCCTGTTGTTCTGTGTATTGGTGTCCCTGAGCCTGTTGTTCTGTGTATTGGTGTCCCTGAGCCTGTTCTGTGTATTGGTGTCCCTGAGCCTATTGTTCTGTGTATTGGTGTCCCTGAGCTATTGTTGTGTGTGTTGGTGTCCTGACCTGTTTGTTGTGTGTATTGGTGTCCCTGAGCCTGTTGTTCTGTGTATTGGTGTCCCTGAGCCTATTGTTGTGTGTGTTGGTGTCCCTGAGCCTGTTGTTGTGTATATTGGTGTCCCTGAGCCTGTTGTTCTGTGTATTGGTGTCCCTGAGCCTGTTGTTCTGTGTATTGGTGTCCCTGAGCCTGTTGTTGTGTGTGTTGGTGTCCCTGAGCCTGTTGTTGTGTATATTGGTGTCCCTGAGCCTGTTGTTGTGTGTATTGGTGTCCCTGAGCCTGTTGTTGTGTATATTGGTGTCCCTGAGCCTGTTGTTCTGTGTATTGGTGTCCCTGAGCCTGTTGTTCTGTATATTGGTGTCCCTGAGCCTGTTGTTGTGTGTTGTTGGTGTCCCTGAGCCTGTTGTTGTGTATAATTGGTGTCCCTGAGCCTGTTGTTCTGTGATTGGTGTCCCTGAGCCTGTTGTGTATATTGGTGTCCCTGAGCCTGTTGTTGTGTGTATTGGTGTCCCTGAGCCTGTTGTTGTGTGTATTGGTGTCCCTGAGCCTGTTGTTCTGTGTATTGGTGTCCCTGAGCCTGTTGTTCTGTGTATTGGTGTCCCTGAGCCTGTTGTTCTGTGTATTGGTGTCCCTGAGCCTGTTTGTTGTGTGTATTGGTGCCCTGAGCCATGTTGTTCTGTGTATTGGTGTCCCTGAGCCTGTTGTTCTTGTATTGGTGTCCCTGATGCCTGTTGTTGTGTGTAGTGGTGTCCCCTGAGCCTGTTGTTGTGTATATTGGTGTCCCTGAGCCTGTTGTGTGTACTGGTGTCCCTGAGCCTGTTGTTGTGTGTATTGGTGTCCCTGAGCCTGTTGTTGTGTAGTGGTGTCCCTGAGCCGTTGTTGTGTGTAGTGGTGTCCCTGAGCCTGTTGTTGTGTATATTGGTGTCCCTGAGCCTGTTGTTCTGTGTATTGGTGTCTCTGAGCCTGTTGTTCTGTGTAGTGGTGTCCCTGAGCCTGTTGTTGTGTATATTGGTGTCCCTGAGCCTGTTGTTGTGTATATTGGTGTCCCTGAGCCTGTTGTTGTGTGTATTGGTGTCCCTGAGCCTGTTGTTGTGTGTATTGGTGTCCCTGAGCCTGTTGTTGTGTGTATTGGTGTCCCTGAGCCTGTTGTTTGTGTGTATTGGTGTCCCTGAGCCTGTTGTTGTGTGTATTGGTGTCCCTGAGCCTGTTGTTGTGTGTATTGGTGTCCCTGAGCCTGTTGTTGTGTGTAGTGGTGTCCCTGACCTGTTGTTCTGTGTATTGGTGTCCCTGAGCCTGTTGTTCTGTGTATTTGTGTCCCTGAGCCTGTTGTTCTGTGTAGTGGTGTCCCCTGAGCCTGTTGTTCTGTGTATTGGTGTCCCTGAGCCTGTTGTTCTGTGTATTGGTGTCCCTGAGCCTGTTCTGTGTATTGGTGTCCCTGAGCCTGTTCTGTATATTGGTGTCCCTGAGCCTGTTCTGTATATTGGTGTCCCTGAGCCTGTTCTGTGTATTGGTGTCCCTGAGCCTGTTGTCCTGTGCATTAGTGTCCCTAGCCTGTTGTCCTGTGTATTGGTGTCCCTGAACCTATTCTGTGTATTGGTGTCCCTGAACCTATTGTTCTGTGTATTGGTGTCCCTGAACCTATTGTTCTGTGTATTGGTGCCCCTGAAATTACTCTTTCGAATTTCTCGAAGAAATTCAGCAAATTTCGGCCCTGATCCTGTGTCTGAGTAATGAATCTTGCAGACAAAACTTCAGGACAAGGCGTAGAGAGACAGATGCTTCTTGTATGGGGTGATAGAGTGAAGACAACATCTTCATCTCCCTTCCTCTCCCCGGGTAAACACAACTGCTGGGGCCACCGCTAAGCCACCACTGTTTTAAGCTGTTTTAACGGGCTTCTTGGGTTGAACTAGTAACTTGCCGGGTAGCGTAGAGGTAGGTGAGATATACGGCCGTTGACTAACTTCGACATTATTTGGAATGATGGGGTTCACAGCGGGCAGCGTGAGGGGTGCTGAAACCAGTCCAAGGAGAGGAAGCTGCTGTCAGGTAGGCCGCTGGTCTAAGAGTGAGACCTTGGCCGTGTGGTTTCACACCGAGTTAGGTAGGCCTAATGATGGCAGCACTAGCATGGTGCAAAATATGAACTTGACTGGGCATACATCGTAGGCTTGCTGTCTACAAATTGTGTATTGGCGTCTCGGGTTTAGCAACACTGGCCCATGCTTGGAAGACCTAACTTGCACTCGCTCTTATACATTTGTTTCTCCTACTTGCAAAGCTACCCAAAGTGCCCACCTAGGGGTGATGGTTTTAAAGAACCCCAATGGAAATAAGTCACTCTGTCTTGATTTTTTTTTGGGTTATCTTAGGTTCTTTACATATATGCTGCTTTGTATGATAATCTAGGTAACTGTATTTGTGTACCTGAATAAACTTACTCTTCAGTCATACTGCTTAGAAGTTTGTTGGCTCATTCACAGTTCTGCTAAACTAGTTTTGTATTATATTTCCCAAATCAAATTTAACGAACTTTAATCCATTGATGCCAATTCTGTCTGGTACAGGTATACATAAATACTGTCTTGTACAGGTACAAATAAATACTGTCTTGTACAGGTACAAATAAATACTGTCTGATACAGGTACACACAAATACTGTCTGGTACAGGTACACATAAATACTGTCTGGCAAGGTACACAAATACTGTCTGGTACAGGTACACACAAATACTGTCTGGTACAGGTACACACAAATACTGTCTGGCAAGGTACACAAATACTGTCTGGTACAGGTACACATAAATACTATCTGGTACAGGTACACAAATACTGTCTGGTACAGATACACATAAATACTGTCTGGCACAGGTACACATAAATACTGTCTGGCACAGGTACACATAAATACTGTCTGGCACAGGTACACATAAATACTGTCTGGCAAGGTACACAAATACTGTCTGGTACAGATACACATAAATACTGTCTGATACAGGTACACATAAATACTGTCTGGCACAGGTACACATAAATACTGTCTGGCAAGGTACACAAATACTGTCTAGTACAGATGCACATAAATACTGTCTGGTACAGGTACACAAATATTGTCTGGTACAGATACACATAAATACTGTCTGGCACAGGTACACATAAATACTGTCTGGCACAGGTACACATAAATACTGTCTGGCACAGATACACATAAATACTGTCTGGTACAGGTACACATAAATACTGTCTGGTACAGGTACACATAAATACTGTCTGGCAAGGTACACAAATATTGTCTGGTACAGATACACATAAATACTGTCTGGCACAGGTACACATAAATACTCTCTGGCACAGATACACATAAATACTCTCTGGCACAGGTACACATAAATACTGTCTGGTACAGGTACACATAAATACTGTCTGGTACAGGTACACATAAATACTGTCTGGTACAGATACACATAAATACTGTCTGGTACAGATACACATAAATACTGTCTGGTACAGATACACATAAATACTGTCTGGTACAGATACACATAAATACTGTCTGGTACAGATACACATAAATACTGTCTGGTACAGATACACATAAATACTGTCTGGTACAGATACACACAAATACTGTCTGGTACAGGTACACACAAATACTGTCTGGTACAGATACACATAAATACTGTCTGGTACAGGTACACATAAATACTGTTCAACAAATTATCATACATTGTAACATATGTAAATTTTCTTAAATAACATGGAAAAGTCAGAGTGACTTGTATCCATTGTGGTCCTCGGCTTACAGGTACCATCCAACTTACAACTGAGTTGGGTTCGAACCAATCGGTCATAAGTCAAAATGGACGTAAGTCGAACCTTACTACTGAATATCAACATCACATTTTTGTAATGACTTTATTTTATTTTTTTATTTTGGTATTTCATTTTTTAGTTTACTTTTTATGCTGTTAGTACTGTATTTTATACTGTAAGGTTTAGGATAAACACTGTGTACAACACAAACACTTGTTTATTTCCCAGAAATTTAGCATACAAAACATGGTCGTAAGTCGAATGGTCGTATGTTGAGCAGGTCGTAAGTCGGATGGTAGATGTATTTCCATTGGGCTTTTAGCACTTTTTTTTTATACTGTAGTATTTTTTATGTGTACACTTCAGTTATACTGTTGTGCTCTTCAGTCATAATTCATATTGTTTTAGACTGTGCACATAACACAGATAACCCGCACATAGAAAGAAACTTATGATGACTTTTCAGTTCTCCCGTGTGCGGCTTATTTGTGTATTGTCCAATCATGGTATTGTGCCTTTTTGTTCTTCTAAGACAATGGTTTGTAAGTTTGATGATTTTTAACCTATCCCCAAAGGAAAGATTCTGACAGCCTGTACTGTACTGTACAATGCTGTAAGGATGGGACATAAGGGCAAGTCATCTTAAACTTGCTGCTCACATTTGTCCATCTCTTGATATACCTTGGATGGG